ATAACTTTCCTCTTTTAGAATATTAACAACAAAAGTAGAATATTTCATGTACCACTAAATTAAGGTGAAAATCTTAATAACAGGAAATCTCAACAAGAGACATTCTGTCCTTGGCGTGAATTCTGCTTCCGAAACGTGACGCAGGCTGACTGGGAATGCTGTGTCGCTGTCCTGAAGGGCACTGAAGACGGCTGACAGAGCCTTGTTCATGATTCCAAAAGGAAATAGAGGATTAATCTGACAGTGCCTGTGTGTCCAGCATCAGATTACTAGCTCCTTTTTTTCCTGTTGCGAAATCAGATTATTGCAGGTTTCCTGCTAAGAGAAACAATATCCGCGGCTTGAGGTGAGGGTGTTGCAGAGGAGGCTGAAATGGTAAATTAACAACTGTTTATCTAACGTATAGGCCTCTTTTATTTGTACGCTAATTTAACGGCTCATCAAAAAGCACACAGGAAAATAAATGGAAGAGGTTAAAGACACAAATAATGCTGGAAGGGAAATGGTGTGGATCAAATCGTACACACAAACTAGAAGGCACGATAACGCTGTTTAAAGTCAGTCTTGACTTGTTCATCCCTGTGCCATGCTGACACACGACTCACATCAGTCTGAGCAAGCGCTCGGAGCTGCAGCAGGAAAAAGAAAACAACAGGAACATCTTACCGACGCCGGGGAATTCTCTCTGAATGACCATTAAAACAAGGATCTGGGAATCGCAACGAACCCGTGATTTAACTCACGAGTTCGACAGGTAAAAGGAATTATGGTCTCCTCACCAGAGACAAACATCAAAGGACGAGCAACAGATGTCTCCTGTCGCTTTTTGAGCACGCTCTAAAGAGATCTTCACCTGAGGATGATCAAGTTTGTTTGTTTGCTGCGTCCCATCCCAAATGTGGGTACAGCTCCCAACTCCTGACCTGGCGACCTTATGGATCACTGAGCTTAGATCAACCCTCTCCCCATGCTGTGCATTTGTTATTGTTCGAAAACATACTGACCACTGCATTGGTGTCATTCCTGAAAACACCACATTGTTGCTTCGACAGATGCCTGCCTCGCCGCAGGCTGACAGCCCTTAGCAGGCTGCAAAGCCTTCACGCTTACATCCTAAAGTTAGAACATTTAGTAATATTTCGATCTTTTTTCCACGTTTTGGAAATACCAGCAGTAGTAAATAGCCTGCGCCAAACTCAAAATATACCAACAGACAGAATAACCAATGGATTTGAACAATCTGGGTCAACAGTAGAGCAGAGAGCCGGAGTGGAACAGACTCAAATTCCTTCTTTTTATCCAATCTCCTTAGATAGAAATTAGCTTCACTTTAGTGAAAGACCCTGGACTAGCAGGCAAATTCTTTCCTTTGAGATTTATTCACCAGGCAACCACTATAGTTGGTGAATTTGCATTCGCAAAGAAAAAATCGGGACTTTCAGGATGCAAAAACGACACCCAAAAGAGTTTAATAACATTGTAAGATATCCTCTTAAGAATCTCATCACATTAATTAGTTAACATTATCTCGGCACCGGTCAGCTGTTCACGGAGGGACACATACGTCTAAGAGAGTTAGGGTTAGCCTAGCCCTGCACTGAGCAACTCTGCAAGTTTTGTGTTAAATTGAGAAATAAAGGCAGGAAAAGTCATGATCTTGTGAGGAATAAGCTGAAAAGCAAACACCACATGGCATTTATAAGACTGAGCGTGGCAGTCTGGCAGGCATGGGAGTGCTGGAATCAAAACAATGCAAGTCCAACTGTTCCAACAGGCAGCCTGTTACAAGCAAACACTCAACAACTGTCCTCTAGCAGGTAGAAACAAACTCTTTATTGTGCTTTCAAACAAACAAACAAAAAAAACCAGGACATATCAATGACTATTTTATATTAGTATATTAGGGAGTGCACCCAATAACCAAACTATACTGTCTGCAATGTACTGCCATCTGTTGTGGTATTGCATGCTTCAATATTGCAGTAATGATGAGCGTTCAATACACAGACCCTGCCACCAACTTCCAATGGTGATGTTTTATCTCCACAAATAACACAAGCCTGGAGTAGATCCTGTCGTGTTGTGGAGTTGCTAATGCTAATGTTAGCTTCTACTAGCTGACATGTTCTCTGCTGTTTCCTGGATGCTAAACCATGAGTCCATGAATGTGAAGTAACAGCGTGACGTAGATCTGTCAGGATTTTCAAATCCTAGGGTTTCACCGTCTATTTGTTATCAAAAGCTAACGCAGAAGATAGGTGTAGGAGACTATTTTCATGTTCAGCCTGCATGCAAAACTCAGAGCGACCCTTTATAATCAGAAATAATCAGTAAAAATTAGTTTTCAGTGTCCTACACCTTTAAAAAGTCATAAAAACAGACATTGCTTCATCTAGTATTCTACCTCCAGAAAACCCTTCGCTTGTAAATCTAATGAGCAAAAGCGTTGTATGGTGTTATAGTAAAAAAAAGTCAACTGAAATGAATATAACAGCTCAAAATGTTTTCATTTGAACTTAGCCGGAAACACCCACGTTTGCTTTTTCTTTTTTTTTTTGGAACGAGCAAACAGCTGCACACAAAACAACCCCTAAAGAATGCCAAAGCCAAATCCACCAAAACACTCCTTTGGTACGGCTTTCTACAGAAATTTTCACATCAGCACAAAAAAAAAAAAAATGTTACACAACATTTGCTCTTCCAGAACGACTGACTTTTATTCCACCAGGTAGGGAATCAAACTATATATTCTATAGGCCAACAAAAAGGAGCTGGGAATTTGATCTCCATGTGTTAAACTCCATTACCATTCTCGGCTGTGCTCCTCTTTAGCACGGCACGTTGCACATCCTTCACCAAAGCCACGAGAAAGACAGGGAGGAATCAATGCTTCATTAATGCACAGACATGCCGCAAGTTTCCTCTGTGAGCCAATCTAAAAACCTGGTGGATGAAGTTATCTGAAACGTGCTCGCTCAAGTGTTAGAACAAAAAAACACCTACAGCTGCTGTGAAACTGTTTAGCCAGAGAAGTCCGCATTTGCTATGGGCAATGTTGGTTTTAATGTACTGTTTCTAACTCAAATTAACAGATAATAACACCTTTCTTTCATAACAGATTCTAGGGATGTAAGAAAATAGCGATATGGCAACATATCGTGATATTTTTTCCAGCGATATATCGATATTCAAAAGCTGTGCATCAAAAATATCGAAATGGCGATTTATTGTGGTATTGTTTCCTGATAAATTGCATCGATATTCCAAAGCTGCGCATGTAATTTTTGGAAGAATTTACTTGCCGACGTTTGTTTTTCTTTTCTTTTGGTGCAATTCAAACGCCGGCCGCTAGATGGCAGTAGTGTGCAATGTGTTTTGTTTCCACCACTGAAATATAAATCCCTCTATTATGATTCAGATACCCAATTTTAAACATGTTACGCATCAGTTTGGACTGTTTATTGAATTTTTTTACAATCCTTTCAGTCTTAAAAAAAATCGCTAATAACATCTGACTGAACGTATCGCAATATATCGTGATATATTGTATCGTCTTCCCTGCATCGTGATCCATTTCGTATCACCAGAATTTCACCAATACACATCCCCAATAAGCAATCAGACAGAAAAGCTGTGACTTCAGGAACTGTTCAAAATCTGAGTTATCACATCAAAAATGGGTTTAATATAAAAATGTGTCTCACCATTCAATGCTACGTAGGGTAGATAGATGTCCATCCATAAATGTGTTTGGCTTCCTTCCATCAACAAATTGTGACTTAAATTAGAATCAAAGTCTCTGAATATGTACCCACTGAAGCATTTCTATATATTTATTGGGCATTTTCAGCCATCAGGGTGAATTTTTAACACTGGAATGGACAAAATAAATGCACGTTTACGGTCTTTTTTAGCACAGTTTTAAATGTATTCAGCTCTAAAACCACTGAGTTTAAATAGAAAACACATCTCAAATCTATGTTGCTGGGATTTACCTCGTCTACACGCTCTGATTTCATTCAAACCTCCACTCCTATGTAGGATTTAAAGCAACCTGACATCTAGATGCACAGTGGAGGAAAAACCCTCCCCTCTCCAGCCCACTACTATCCCGAGCAGATTTAGGTCAATGCTGATTAATGGACTCAAAGCCCCCCCGAGAGGTTTCTGGTCAGGTGGCAGCAATGCCTGCTCACTGGCGATGCATTATGAAGAAAACACATTTTCACCCACTAACCATCTACTTTCTTACTGCGCCAGCTGCTGGATCAACAGACTGTTGGTGATGCTGGACAGCCAACACTTACCAATAAAAAGGATATAAACACAAAACGTAGAATAAGCTCAGACAACATGAGTGCGTTGATGTTTATTTTGATTAACCAGCTGCAGAACCCAAGCTAGAGGATGACAAGAACGCCTGGCACTCCAACGGCATCCATGTCACTGTATTTATAGATAGCTGTGATGCTATTGGGTAACATGCATTCTGCCTGTCTGTGCACAAGCCAACATGGACATTTAACATCTAAAAACATGCAAAACAATTAACATCCCCATGAAAAGTAGATGGAACCCAGTAAAATGGAAATTTGACTAAACATTTTAGCTAGTAATCAAAACAGTTACACAACTTAATGTTTACAACTTTCAAATATGTCCCATGCTTTATGACAATTGGTTGACGGATTTAACAGAACATATCCACAATTATTTCTTTTTAAAAAATGACAAAATAAAATATTTTGCGCACAAAACATTAGTAAGTCGAACCTTGGTGCGACCAGGGTAGCGATTAGCATTAGCCACCTCGCTAGTTAGCGTGCCAGTTAGCTAACCCGCCAGTGTTTTGGGAATGTGTGGCAGCCCGTTTCTCTGCCTCACACAACCCTTCATGTGGGTGTTGTTCACTAGACCTGATATTTATTAACCGCTGTGGTGTTTGGAAAACACTGATGCATGTGGGAGTTTACGCTAACGCACAACAACGGTGTCGTTACCTCGGGACGCAGCTCGGGGACGATCGGTCTATCTCCCAGGTCGCAAAAAGGTTCATGGGTACAGGCATGCTGCCGGAGCCAGAGCCCGCGACCACAGCCCCGGCTAGCCCTCCTGTCGGAGGCATCGTCGGTGCAGGTCCACCGCTGCCGCCGCTGCTTGGGTTCAGGAAAGCGGCCCGGACGCCTCCTCTCTCTACAGCCGCCGCCATCATCACCACTACTGCTTGAGAGCAGCTCTAGTTGAGTGTCGGACGAACGCGGGAGCCGCTGATCCCTGTGCCGCCTGCTCCAGCTCCTTCGGTCTCCCTGCCTCCCTTCACTGACTGAGGATGTTGATATACGAGGGGCGGGGCCTGAACCAACCGATAGGGGGCAGCGTTGAGAGAGATGTGTTTTGATTGTTTACAAAACAACAACAACAATAACATTTAACTCAAAAGGAAGAGCTGCCTTAACTTTTTTATGGAAAAAAAATTATTTTTTTGTATTTAACGAACTAAAATGTTACATTTATTCTCATTTTCATGAGCACCTAAATAAAACTTTACTTGGATTATACGAATTAGCCTTTTTATATAACATAACTTGAGCTGTCATTTAATTTCAGCAGCATTTTCAGATGATTTGTCTTTTTAACATCGATTTTCTTGTTGGTTTATCGAAAAATAGTCTTAAATATTCCAACAACATTAGTTTTCACACCCATGTTTTCCCACTCTGAATGCAAAACAGCATTCCAGGATTGCAGCAGACGTTTACAATTCCAAAGCGTGCTTTTTAAGGTGGTGTGCTTCCAGTTGTAATGAATGAATGAACTTGATTGTCTGGTGGGACGTCACAGTGCAACCGTGAGTAACATAAAAGAATTAACTTACCACACATGATTCTGCCATTATTTTCTACACAGCGTTTTGTTTTTTATTTTATTTCATGAAATAAGTATAAATGTCATTTTGAATCATTTAGTATTATCTTTAATCTTATTCTAATCTTTTATTATCTCAGTATTACTGAGATGTTTTCTATTTCACTGCACAGCATTTTACTCGTCATGCTTTATTTTACTCTCATGTTGTTATCTGTTGTTTTGCTTTGCTTGCTGCAGTGATACCAACCACTCCCCACTGAAGGACAATAAAGGGATTTTCAATTCCTATGCTATTCTATTCTATTGTAATATAATTACAGTGATTTATTTTATTAAAAAAATATGTCACTTTTTTGTTTTAATCCTTCTGTTTTAACAAGTTTTCAACAGATTTTTAAAACTGCTAGTTGTGTTTTGGCGAGTAGCTTTGTGTCTCTTTCTCAGTCGTTCCACCCCGAACTGCCTTCAGTTCCTTCTCCCTGTCTGTTTTTTAGCTTGTGCACATATTTTTATGAAAATAAAGCCTTAATTCCCAAGGTATCCTTTTGTTTTCACTAACTGAACTCTTAGACCTCGCCCGGCCCATTCACTGCTTGCTCAACCCTCTGATTTCCAGCCTGCCTATCTTCGTCTGAAACCTGCTTCTCAAGTTTCTCCATCTGTGTTAACGTACATTTAGGTGAATTGTGTCCAGAGTTCGGCGTATTGTCTCGGTGTTGGAGCACGTTTGGATTCTGATCCCTCGTTCACTCCTGTCAAGAAGAACCAGACAGAGAATCGGTCCCGCCACACCTGCTTCCCACCGAGGATGAACAAGCTCAACCGAACCAAATATGTCAGCTTTATTTACGCGTTGCAGGATATTTCAAAATTACGTAACGGTAATCTCTGATGTCAACTTGAAGTAGTTTAGTACTGAATCAGATCTGACCTCTGACATCTAAGCACGTGAGACACACAAAATCCTCAGATGAGCTACGAAAGCAGTAATCACAGACATGATCGTGTTTTTCCACTCACCGTCTTCGTCTGTCTGTGGACTGAAAAGCTCTATTTTTAAAGAAGTGTCTAATTTTATTGTGCCTACATGTTGTGGTCAGTTCTGCATGTGCACCCTAATAAAAGGAAAATCCTTTCACTGCAGCCCTACAAGATGAATCATCAAATCCACCACATCAGACATAAAGCCTGTTATTTCCTGTACTAACCCAGATGTTAACGTGTGTCCCTTTGTTTCGGTGCTTTTCTGTTGCCTAACGTCTGAAGCCTGGTGAACAGTCACAGATTGTCTTCTTACTCACACGGTGATGGTGTTGTGAAACTCGCTGACATTAACTGTGACTAAAGGCTCCAGTTGAGCAGACCTGACTTGACATGCTCAAGAGGGTTGGGTAGCAGTGAGGCAGTCTTTAAAGTCTCAGAAAAACAAGTGCTTTTGGATTATTTCTCAAGATGCCTCCACATTAGCAGAGAACCTGGCCACTTCTGTGATTTAGACGTTTAGTTTCTGAGCAGTTTTTCTGTGTTTTACTGATTTTAGTTAATTGTATAATTACAAAACAGTAACTAAAGAAATAAAATTGGCCCTCACCACCTGTAGATCCTCTACCAGAGGGCAGAAGACATGTATAGAACTGGATAAGGCAGATTTCTGATGAAGGTACTAATCCTGATACCTGCATGTCCAAAGTGCGGCCCTCTGTTGCATTTCTAGAATGGTAGAATTTTGTCTTTCTAGCAGGCTCTAGATGTAGATCTATGTTTTTCAATTTGTTTGGGACCAGATTTTTACTAAGCTGTCTATCCTAGGTCTTTTTGAAGCTGAAATCATTGCCCATGAGGACTGATTTTGGTCTTTAAATGTTTGGCACCCCTGTCCTAACACCTTGTTTGGCTGCTTTGACACCAGATATGATTTGGGGCAGCAGTAGCTCAGGTGGTAGAGTGGGTTGACTCATGATCGG